TTCCCCACCCTCTAGGAAATGTTTCATACAGACCCATTCCATAAAACTATCAAGTCAAATTGCTCCCGACCCTCTATTAACAAAAAATTCTCTTTACTGCATCTATTCTTCAGCTTTGGGTTGTAACAATTACTCTAAAAGGCTGTGTCTCAGCTTGGGTCTCAGCATTTCCCATAGTGAAATACAAATGCAGCTCAGTGGTCTGGCAAGTTGTCTCTACCCCTGCTGCAATTCTGTACCTGCCAGACTGTGAGGCTGGCAAAGCAAGCCAGCCCTTGCTGGGCTCCAGGAAACTCATGGGAACACCATGCCTCAGTCTGTAACCCAAAAGGAGACAGAGGAAGATATCTGGGAGGTAACAGATAACCATCTTTGCCAATTAAATACAAAATTTTACTACAGACCAATGGCAAAATCAATATATACACTGGTGAGAGAGGAAATGCTGGTTTTTATTCTTTCAGGGAGTATAATACTCATCCACATCTCAAAGTAGAAGCATGTGCTCTCTGGGATGAACATCTGAGGGAAGTTCTTGAAAGTAAAAGATAAGAATTATAGAAAGGTTTAGCAAAAATGAGAGCCAAAATTAAAACTCAAAGGATTAAAAGATACTAAAGTGGGGAAAAAATATGAAGGATGGAGTGCAGTGACACAAAGCACAGGGAACCTCATGGACTCAGATAATACAGCAGAGCTTAGAGGAGAGGCAGGGATGGGGAAGACTGTGATTCTTCTTGCTATCAGTTGGGACACAGTAGGGTGCACATCCAAATAGAAACACAGACAGTAACATAAAGCAGAACAAAAAGCAAGGAAGAAAAAGCAGACTGTAGACAGCTGTCATCTGGAGGAGCCAGCAAGGCAGAGCCACAAACAGCAGCAATAATGAAAGAGAACAAAAGGACTACAAAACAGGGGTGGGGGGAAAGGAGGAGAAACAGAAAAGAGTGAAAATTCGGCTTTTTTTTTTTTTCTTTTTTCTAGTTTCAGAAGCTACTTGGCAAAGATTTGGAAGCACTAAACAATGCAGGTGACTTCATGAACAGTTACTTTGCTACTTCAGCATCTCAGAAGATTAACCCCAAAGAGAGGACTGTATTCACAAGTAAATGGGGCCAATGAATTTGGCAATTTGCTGGGCAGTTTTTTTGTGAAGATATTCTATCATTTTAACTATTTAAAGGCCCTAATGTGAGCCTGAAACACAGAGGTGGTGTATTACAATATTCTCCTTTGGACTAGTTTTACTGTTTGCTAACTGCCTATGTGCCTGTTACTGATGTCTGCACACTCCTTTCTATTCAAAATCCATAGCAAGAATATCTCAAAAGCCACATGGATATAAACCTGCTGTTTTTCTGTATGAGCTGTCCTCATTAAAAGTATCTCTTTCACCATTTCAGAAAGATTTAATTTTTAAACTCTTTTAATCAATAAGCAGTGTGAATTAATACTTTTTCTAAAAAGCGAATAAGCCAATTCATTTGCTTTGATCTGCAAGAGCAGACACTGTCAGTAAGAACTAAATATAAGTATCAAAAACTGGCTAAAATTAGCAACAAATAACATAGAAATATTAAGACATGTTAAGAAAGTTATTTGGAATGCCTGGCCTTCCTGGTGATTAATATACTTATTATACCATTAAAAATACGTGCAAAAAAGGCATATTATTTAAGCAGTGCCAGGTACTGCTGCTTGTATTATTGCTACTTAACAGGGCTTTATGTCCACTGTATTGCAAGTAATCAGTGTAAAGATGCAAATTCTAGAGAAACTCAGAAATCAAGGCTGATCAAAACAGACAAAGTTTGTGTGAAATACAAGTGTTGCAAAGAAAAAATATAAAGCAAAATTACTTGTGTAAGGGAAAGAATGCACTCTCTGTCAGGGCTAGTAAATGTTCTTCTGAAAGAAAATCAATCTGGAAGGAGAGAGAGGCAAAGAGTTTGCAATTAAGAGTACGTATTCTTAGAGATGCTACTAAAAAGTATTTAATGCAAATCATAACAGCTCTTTGATAAGGATTTTTTCACACAGCTATGTTGTTGTATTTCAGAGTACATATTTCTAAGCCTTCCAGTAATTCTTATGTTAGATACTGTCTTACAGAAGATCATCTCAGCTACCAGCATATAAACTAGCTGGAAACAGTAATGCTGACAAGCTTCACATATGGAAAAAAAAGGGATGAAAAGAATGGAAGTCATACATGGCTCCACAATTCATAGTTTAAGTAATTTGCTACTCCATTTAACAGGAGGAAAAAAGCTGAGACTGAAGACTTACAGAAATGAGATCTCATATTAAAAATCATGAAACTAACTTGCTCTACATATCAATTTCAATGGAAAAATATTCCAAGAGGATGCATTCTTTACCCTCCAGAGCAGCCTGAAGTACCATTACAGGCTGTTCTTTCCCCAGTAACGTGCACCCTCTCTGCTTATGCAACACACTTGGAAAGAAGGAACAAATAAGAACTTTTTTTCTGCATGACATTCCCATCCAGATTTGGGAAATGGGCTGTTCTAGGCTGTCTCAGCATGGAGCAACCCTTCTGCATCCCCTCCAGCGCGAGCATGCACAGACAGCTGGGGGCAGTGCTGCTGAGGTGATCAGCTGGGACAAGGGCTGCCTCGGGACAGAAGGTTACAAATTTGAGAGGGCACAGCTTGACATTTCCCAAAGACTGCAGGGTTAGGCTATTAATTGCAAAAGCTAACCAGGGGTCTGAGTTATTTGTCACTTTGATTATTATAGTCTAAAAATAAGTCAAAAACATTACGAGAATAAAAATGCATTTAAATGGCACAGAGAGGGCAAATGCTAAGATGCTGAAATGAAATACAGAACATGAAAATACAAACTTAACGTTAAGATAATTATCTGAGCAGACCTTACTTATAGTCAATTAAATGCCATTCTAATGAAAGTTTTAGGTTTTCTCAGACTACTACTGGCTATGTGCCAGTCTTTTGAAGAAAGTTGTAGAAGCAATGTACAACTGGGACTAAAACAGAGAAAATGAGCCAGGAAGCAGCTTTTTGGATGGACTTAAAAGACAAAACAAAATTTGGCATCTCAAATTATAGGGGTAAATGCTTATAAATTTTGTCCTGGTGAAAATCCAATATTTTGAGAGAAATGGGCACTTACTTTCATCTAAAATGCTGACATAAAAATGAATATGGAAACAATATAGTGGTATTAATCAATATACAATAAAACAACTACAATAACTCCAACTGGCAGGGACTGTGCAATGAAATAAAATGTTAAGTCTCTCTTTTCCCCTGAAGTCTCATTAATGTAAAAATTACAAAACTTTTTTTTAATAGGAAACAGGAAAAATCTATGACTGAAACTGTCATCGATTCTAACTACTTAGAAACATTGACTTGAAATAACACTAGAAATTCAAAACTAATCAGAACCTCTGGTTCATCATCAAAAAGCTACTGCAACCAAGTAATGCATTTAATTTCTTGTAAAGATTTTCTGTATCCCACACATGTCTTTGAGCATGTATCTGTGTAAGGAGGATGGAAATTACTGCAGTTCCATTCTATTGACCTCTATTAAAATGACAGCGTAACAGTAGTGGAGTCTTCCCACTAAGAGGTCTCATTGGACTAAAAACACAGCTAACCATGATAATCATGGTTTTCAGATGAAACCTGCTTTGCACTAGGAACAACTAATGGCAAAGCACTGATTTGTCTTTGTCTACAGGACAGTTACTTAACAAATCATCTACTTTATATGAATAAACAGCTTACTCCTCATTACACCAGTCATTGGAAGAAGAAAATATATGAAGAAGGATTTAATTCAATGAGAGTATCATAAAAGAGTTCCAAGAAATTGGATGTGAATTGTGGATAACAACAACATCTTGCCTCAGGCCTTCTATTTCTTCCATTTCAGCCATTTCCACCACCCTTTTCAACAGAGTATAAAAATATACACTGGTTTATATTGCTTATATTACTGAAAAATTAATTAACACTGTGTGCATTTTCCCTTAATGTCCTCTGAGCATTTCTGAGTATTTTATATGGACAGGCTGTTCCAAAGCCATATAAAACAAAGATAACAGCTGTAAATCTTGATGGCTCTGTTAGAATGCTTCAGATCATACTGCTTGGAGCACTCTGAAAAGTAGAGTGTAATTGAAATTGCAAATACATCAGATTTTAAGAAGGCCAAAAGAGGCCAATGAGGCCAGTACACTGCCAGTTTTTTTTAGATTCAGTATAGTTCAATATCAGTGCTGATAAATATCACTCACTGTACCCATTTTTATAAGGTTTTTGATCAAATAACAATGCAGAGAAGTGAGTTCACAATACTAGTGTGCAAGAGCAAATTCACAGCCAATGTTGCAGTGCTACCACATAACAGTATGTTTCAATAGCAGTGTTTAAATAAAATTACCTTTTTTATTCTTTTTTACCAGTGATGCACCTTTTTTGAATTATGTGTTTTTTACATTTATACATAATTGCAGCTGGTTTCAGTAGAGAACTTTTAAGAACAATGATAATTACAAGTGAAACAAAGAAAGTTAAACCATTAATAATTTATGCTCACAAAATTCTTTTGCTCTGATGATCCTGAATAAACAGTAATTAATTTAACCTCACAATACCCCTGTGAGGTAGGTAATTACTATCAGCCCCATTTTACAGGTGGGGAAACCAGAGCACATACAAGGGAAGTAATTTGCTCAAAGCCTGGGTACAGAAACCAGGTATCTGACAGTCATCTTCTGTTTCTTAGCCACCACATCACCCTTCCACATTAAAAAACATAACTAAAATATGTACAAATACTGCATGTGTGCATGCACACATGTGTGACTAGCACTTGTGCATAGAAGCAGCTCTGTGTTTCTGAATACTCATCAGGATTTTAGATACATATAAAGGATAAAAAAGATATCATGGATGTAGTTCAAGATATTTGAGAACTAGCACTAGTGAGTCTTAATTTACAGATAAACCAAGACACCATGAATGAGAAAATGGCAATAATGCTTTCTGCATTTTAAAATAATTCATTTAAAAATTATTCTTATGAGGAAATCAAAGGCTTCCTTTATTATCTGCTGGGTATTATTAATACAGTTATGGTAATACCAATATGTCTTTAGAAAACAGTGTTTTTAAGACATGACAAACCAACCTCACAGGAGTACTGTATGAATCAAATTAATAAGTACTGGAAAAAATTATTACAGGCACTACACTGTGCTAAGTGTTAATTAGAGTACCAAGCAGTTAAATATTCTACCATGTTCCAAAAGACTCCTGTGATCAGACACAAATCACCCTGAATTAAATGTATAAAAGTAGCTGTTAAAGCATAAATTAGATGTGTGACCTAGTTCCAACAGAGTCCTTTGCCAATCCTTAACCATGTGAGAACAACCCCAGGCTGGAGCTTCCATCCCATTCCTTGTCTGTGAAGCTGGTTTGCCACTCACCTGCCCTATACAAACAACCTATTTCAGATTTATTTCACAGGAACAAGTAAGATGGTTGCAATGTTATTTTATTCTCTGCTCCAGCTCATTTCCACTAGAAAAAGCAAGAAAAGCTGGTGAGGAGAGAAAGCCCCTGGTGCAATGATCCCAAGAGTTTCCAATTCACAGCATGTTTTGTATATGCACTTTTCTTCAAGAAACCCAGACTCAGATACATTTAAGACCTTGGATTTCCACAGTCTGGCACACAACAGTCACCCAGGGCATTGCTTCTCTGTCAATAAGTTTACATGGCACTATACAACTAAATAGGCAGAAATCTTAGAATAATTTTTGTAATTGTTTTCCTGAGCGGTTTGCAAGTGCTTTTCAGAATCTTTAACTTTTCCATCTAGTTCCTTACAGTAAATTTATAATCTAGATTTTCTTGTGCTTTACTCATACATCCTGTGGGGTTTGTGAGAGCCTACAGTACTACACTGAATTACTACATCCCAATCTGCTGCATTTGATGATAATATGTTCTATATTCACAGCTACATTGAAGAATGATTCCAATGCATACACTGATTTTAAGACAGTCCTTTTCTATTTGACTAGCATTCATTATTTTCTGTTTGCATATTCTGGACAATGAGTTATCTGTATCCTTCTTAAACAAGGTGATGTGCAAGCCTGTCACTAGCATCAGTATGACATTCAGTGAGTACAGAGTTAGTTATTCTCTATCAAAGGCAAAAAGTGAAGACACTATATAGTTTTCTTAGAGAAGCATCCTAGTCCCAGGCAGCTGTGACACACAGGATGTCAGACATTTAAACTCACCACACTACACCCCACTTGTTTTCCTACATGGCTAAAATAAACCACAGAGAAAAGAAAAGAGGAGTGTGGATTCACTGCATCGCCATTCCCTAGGGATGCGGAGGTCAAGACTAGGAAACTCTGACAAAACTGGGATGAGGAAACAAGGACCTGACTCACAAGCCTTTCTGCAGGCAGCCCCTCCAGAAGCCCTTCCCCTGTCATCCCTGCAGAAAAAGGGGCCACTGGTGGTAGGGACTGAGAGACACCCCGTGGTGATGGGAAGGAAACAGGAAGCCCTAAATCCCTTCCCATCTTCCCCATGACCTTTTGGATTGTCAAACCAACCCAAATGGAAAAGGTCAGGTTGAGGTTTGCCTACTCCCACCAGCAAGGGCAAATGCCAGGGGAAATCCCAAACAGGGATGCTGTGGGAAGGAGATGGCAGTGCTCCCCACCCAGCTCTTCCCAGAGCAGAACTCTGACCCAGCCGGCACAGCTGCCCTCATAGGAAGTTTAAAAAAAATAACCATACAAAGAAAACTGTGTAAAAGAGGTATTTACACTCTCTGGAAATTTAAAAAGAGACAGGCCACCAGCCTAGGGTTTAACAGGAGAACTCATCTGGCAGCTTCCATCATCCTAGAGGGGCTCGCTCAGGAAAAAAAAAAGAGCAACTAAAATGACTGTCCACAAGTGAAGGCACCTGGTCTGGAAGTAGCATCAAGCTGGTGTTTTTTCTTTCACATGTGATGGGATGGGGAAAGATACTGGTGCTGATAGTTTGTCAGGACTTGCTACAATTACAAGAGCATTATTGTATATTACGAGATATCCTAATTAACATTTTACTTCCTTTAATCCTCAGAAGGGTCTAAGCCTAAATTTATTAGATTGTCTCACACATGTTTAAGTTAAGAGCTGGTCTCAACTAGGAGTGCATTTGTCTCTCAGTCCTTTCCCAGTACAGAAACACTTGGCCTACAAAAAAATTTGTCATTGTGATCAACCATCTTTTCTGGTCTAGTCACTTGTGTAAAAATCACCTTTTCAGGCTGAAGACTCCCAGCCTTCCACTGAATACCTCAATTAAAAATAAAATTAAAAAGTTACAGTCAATCATTCTAAAAATAAACATAAAGAAATAGAGCATATACAGAAAAGAAACAAGGTGGCATTGAAGGTGCCTAGGGCTACAAATTTGCTACCATAATTTGAGTTTCAGTCGAAATGAGTTTCTAGGCCATAGAGTGAACACAAGACATGTTATCCTTCGCCCTTGGTAACTGATGATGGATGCTTTTTTCCACAGGACTGATAAGAAACCTCCTCTCCATCAGCATTTACAGCCATGTTTGCAATTTTGGAACATCACCAGGGAAAAATAAAATGGTACAGTGAAGAGTCTTTCGGTTTTTGTGTTCAGCTGCAAATATCAGCTAACCAGGTAACTGTGCATCTCTCTGGAGTTGATGCTCAAAACCACGCCTGAGTGATTGCCTAGGAAAATACAGAAACAAAAGGCCAACATTAGTTCATTTCAGGTACTCCACAATAAATCCCCCTTTTATTGCAGAGACAAATAAATTGCATAAGACAGTGTCTTTATCAAACAACAGGTCAGGTGAAGGTTGGTGCAACAGCTCCATGTACCTACAGCACACTTTTGCACAAAGCTTTTGCTCATGGTGGTGGATTTGTGGTGAATTCCTAGGGTTTCTATCCCAGTGACAGCATAAGTTGGTTCTCTTTGTGGCTTATAAAGGTGTAGTTGTCTCGAGGGGTGCAGGTGAGGGAGGAGAATGGAACCTGAGGCGTCCATTCGACATGCCACTGACCTGGGACTGGACACTGACCGGCATCAGCAATAAGGGAACTCTGTAGCTGTTCAAGTTGCCACTTCTCCCAGAAGGAGTCACTGCAAGGTAATGGTGTTGAGGAGTCCCAAGGTGGGGGTTGCGATAAAGTAGGCAACATAAAATATATAGAAAACAAAAAAAGTGGATGGGTGAGTCTGGAAATACTGTACTGTGGAAATTCAAAAGTTATGAGAAGAGAGAGAACAAACAGAAACCCAGGCCTGTAACTCCCTGCTGCGCACGGAGCGGAGGCGGCTACTGACATCTCCCAAGAGGGAGGGAGAAAGCTCACCAGAACTAGAAGGGATCTCCATAGCATAGGAACTTCTGCAAATAATGTAGTAAACCAGAATTTAATATAAAGCAGGGATTATAACGTGTTTCATAGTCTAAACCAGATAAAATAGAGTATCATTAACAGGAATATTTTCTTGGCAGTACTGAGCAATACCGGAGCTAGTGGAAAGTATTGCAAATAACAAAACAGTAGAGCGAGCAGGAGTGTAGTTTTGTGTATTAAATAACATCTTCTGTCTAAATGCTGTACAACAGCTGACAAATACAAATGATTATGATCCACAAAAATGAGATTTTTACACTCTCCTGGAAAGACTGCTGCTGCAGACAGTCTGGCTGAAGCACAAATCACCTCAAAATCACATTCACATTCTTATGTCATGAAAACATCATGATCTTGTACTCTTTAACCCAAAAATAATGCTCTGCTCAGATAGAAGATTTTTGTTTCCTTCACAAGTGCAGGGCAAGCAGAGATTAATTCTAAATGTGTTACAAATCAGGGTAGCATTTCTTTATTAGAGCATCCCAAGCTCCTTTTTTTTAAATAAGCCATGAGGGATTTTCTGCCATTAAAAGAAGTTATGCCTCTGTACATTACTAGAGGTGGTTGAATGCTCCACTTCAATAAGCATGTCTGCAAGGACCTTGTTAGCATTCAGCTTCTCCTCTAAAGACCCTGGAGACGAGATGACCAAACAAATTTAACATAGACTTTGTTTTTCCAGGTTTGTTTTTGGAACTAACTCCGGTAAAGTCAGGAGAGCAAAAAAGGTCGTCTTGCAAAATTAGAATGAAAGCAGTGATACTCATACACAAGGTTGTCAGAGAAGAGATAGAAATACACAAAGCAAAGCAAGAGGTTGGATTCTTCCCTTGTGTTCAAAGCTAACACCTCCAAGAACCTAGAAGCAGTACACAGTTCTGCAAATGAAAATAAAGACATCGACAACAAAAAAAAGGTGAAACTCAAGATAAAGAAATCTCTCATCAGACCACGTTCTGTCTTGCCCAGGCTACCTTGGGTGCAGCTAAAACACATCTTCCTTGGGGTTCACAAAGACATTACAACTGCCTTTCACACCATCAATCTACCGCTACAAATCCCAAAAGCTTTGGATCATCTGATTTATTTTCACAAATTTTCAGAAATGGAACTGGGTGTTGTTTACTTTGTCCTACAGTTTTCAGACTGTGACCTGAAAGCAGTCTGAAGACAATGTATTATAGATCAGAAGTCCATGTTGCATTAAAACTAACCACAAGGTGCCAGGATATACACTTCCACCTGACACTGAAATCATTTGCACTGAGATACTCACAGAAAGTTTCCCTCATGGATTCTTTATAACCACCTCATGAATACTAGAAAATCAACAGCTAAATTAAGGAAGATTTATGATACTTTTAATACATGAATAAATTTAATGTTTCTAATAACAAAAAACTTTAAATGCCATTGGAATATGAAGGCAAATAATGCAATGGATCTCCATACAATCCATCTGAAATCACAGAGGCATTGACTCTACAAATCCTTCTGGCCTGAACTAAATTTTCCACTAATTCAGGGGATTATTGAGTGAATTCAACTGTTGCAGATTATATCCCATTCTACCAAATATAATTTATCTCTAAAATTGTCCAAGTCAGTCTCCTGACATTAAACTACTATGTCTGTGCTCATGCTCTATATAGCAAGTCATCCATACATTAGCCTGTATCTCAAGCAAGCCAAAAGGTGATTGAGATAATCCCTTGTTACTGGTGTTACCATTTGCATATTTTTGAGACTGAACAGAAAATGAAAAAGAACTAAAATGAAAACAAACATCAATTTAAAAGCAGCTACTTATGAAAATTTATAAGCTAAAAACGAAATTACCTCTTGCGTTACCTAGTGTTTGAGAGTCCAGATCATCATCAATAAACTCCTCACCCTGGATGATGTTCTGGGTGTCCTCACTGTGATTAACAGGGCTTGTCATCTCCTGCTCTTTTTCATTGTGCATCTGGGCGTAGACATTTCTGCCTGGCAGTTTCCTAAATGGGACAAGAAGAAAAAATTTTGGGATGGAATTCTTTTATGTCACACACACACTGGCATCAGAGCAGAACTCCAGCAGGGCAAAGTTGTTCCAGAACAAAAAATCATCACCAATCCCATCCTACCTTAATTTTGTGATTATAACCTACACTTACCAACTCTTTGTTCTCTGTGACAGTTTTATCTAACTGCCTTATCAGGATCTTCAGACTAACATAATATTTAAGCATCCATTTCTAAGATTAACACACAATGAGGAATGTTGGAAAAAAAATTACTAAAGCCACAGAAAACCTATTTTAAGAATTCAAGCAATAAAAGAGCCCAGTGGGTGCTGTTCATTCTCGGTTCCAGGTGTTGTCACATACATTAAGCTGGGCTGCAATCATCATCACATCTCCCTGAGCATGTGGGCTGACATTGAAGTGTGATAGCATCAGATGGCACTCATAGTCAATCAGGATCAGGGAGAAAAAGTCAGGAGAAGTCCAGGAGACAGGGAATGGAAAGCAGCAGAGACTGAGAAGCCAGGAGGCCAGGACCAAGGGGGAAGGAGCAAGAACATAAACAGGCATCAATAAGAGCACAAGACAGGGGAGGTTGGTTAAGTTTAGCAGGCAGCACTGAAGGAGACAGAGTAAAAAATTTGGACTGGGAACTGATTAATTAGACAAACTCCACAAGAGACAATAATTCACTCAGTCTAACTGGAATCTAGAGAAACAAAAAGCATCCTATTAAATTATCACTCTGGCTGAGACTGGGAGGCTTATGATTTGATAAGGGGCTCTTAACTAGATTAATTTAAATTAGACTTTGTCAACTCAAAGGGAAAAATCAGGGACTGCTAGCTTTGCAACAGATTTTATGGTTTAAACATTCCTCAAGAACCATACCCTTTGTGCTGTAGCTGTGCTCACCTGCCGTCTGCTTAGGCACATGGGGACATCCTTTCCCAAGCACCAAGCAGACACTTCAGATTAAGGAACTGCAGGCTCTAAGCTCCATTTCCTACAGTGCCAGAAGCTGCTTGACAGCTTGAGCAGCATGACAGCAGATCATGGCTGAAAGAGTCTCTGCTTAAAGCCAGATTATTACAATGGGCAGAAAAGAAAAACAATGAGAAGAGAAAAAACAGGATTGAACAGCTGTGGTTTCTGTTGAGGCCCTTTAGACAGAGAGAGAATAGAAAAAGTGACACTAATTTTTAGGCATCTCTCTAAAAGCAACCATCTCCTGCTCCCTATTACAGCAGCAGTTTAAAAGCTGGATAAATATACAGATTATTCTATTTTCTCTAGGCTTTTGAAGAAGATATGTCTTAAATGCCATTTCACAAGGTGTCTTTAGCAAGGGGTACAATTTTTAAAAAAGAAACTGCAACAAACTATTCTGAAAAACAACTTCCATTGCATCAAAATAATGAAAATAAATTGAACTTACTAAAAAATTAAAGATGACTGAAGATAATATCTTCCCTTTAATCTGAACAATCCAAAAGATAAATTGAGTCCTATATATCTACACAAACACACATATCTGTATAGGTGTGTGTATACATGTACACACACACACAATTATATCTCCAAATAAAAATTAGGTATTTTATCCCATTATTTATAAGCAGTACAAAACCAAAAGGAAAAGGACAAGGATGGAAAGAAGGTCTGATGACAAAATACTGTTATTATGATCACTTCAACAGGTCTGAGGGCTCCTGCAACAAAAACATACAGCTAAGCCCTGCATCACTTTCCTTTCATTATATGGATTAAAAAAAAAAAAAAAAAAAACCACAAAACAACATTTTGCAAGAGGGAAGGACATTCCTCATAACCAAAACAAATACATTATCCCATATCTTTTAAAATATTGAATAAAAAAAAAAAAAAAAAAACCACAAAACAACATTTTGCAAGAGGGAAGGACATTCCTCATAACCAAAACAAATACATTATGTAATTAATTTTGATTTTTTTTTTTTTCTCTAGGGCCAGTAACTCCAGACTGTTTTTAATGTGTCTGGTAATGAAACTGGTCATGTGGAAAACTATCCTCTCAATCAGACCTGCATCAAACCTGTCAAACTGCTCACTTTCAGTCCACCACCAAAAGCCTAAGGGAGACAAAACCCAGAAGAATGTCTCTGTAACGCATCTGCAGAATTAGCACATATGTTTCTACAATAATTATAATAACCTTCTCTGAACTATTTCTGACAGATTGGAGAAGCATCAATGGCATTATCAAAACAATTTTGACATAATAAAATGTTAAACATCTCAAAGCCATATGGCACTCAGACCTTTGCAGTTAAGTAGAGGGAGAAGGGCTGCTAGTGTGACTACTGCCTATGAAACCAGGTTAGCAAAGTGTGTCCTTTGGTGTAAATCCTGAGGCTTCAACTCACGGCTCCTACATTACTTACTACCTAGAGACAACCATGAGCAGAACACATACTAGTAAAGATATTCAGGAAGAATGAAGAGACCTCTGAAATTCACAAATAACCATTAAATGTATTGCTGCTAAGACAACTTCCTTATGGTTTAGGAATAAAAGGAGGGAAAAAAAAAAAAGAGAGATGTTATTTCTCACTCGCCTTATCCTGCCCAATTCTGCTAAGTGCAGGTCCTTTGGGGAAGGTATAAAGCTGAGGTACTCAGTACTTGCACACTTCCCTTTGCTTCTCACACTGACATGGAAAAGACTAACATTGAATGGATTGGAGGAAGGAGACTATCACAGGCCTTGAGAAGACATGTACTGTAAGCATTAAACCTTTTATACACTACAGAGATCTTTCTGTGTTTCATAATGGTTCAGTTTTACAAGGAACACACTCAACCACCCTGAAAAAAATGACAGTCCAAGCCTTTTCAAGAGGCATTTTTAACACATGTGCCAGATATTCTGTTTATAAGGGACGACCACACTGTGGAATGAAATAGGATGTGGATACTGGACCCTCACTAAAGATGGGCCTGATTCTGGAAATTTTGCTTCTTACTGCTCAGACATGCAGGAAGGAGGCTGCCACCCCTACTTGCACAGAATAAAACTCTAGTGTACCCTGATGTGCTTTCTCTTCTTCAAGAAGCAGTTAACTTTGAGTCCAATGTAACTGTTTGAAGCAGGCAGAGCTCAAATTCTTGGGTCTACATAAAAGACTACTGTGAAAACATGACAAGACACAAAATTTGACCCAAGAGATTTGTATCAGCAGTATGAAAATTGAAAGCACATTTAGAAGAACAGACAAGAAGATTATGCAATAGTTTCTTTGGGGGCTTAACTCATCTGCAAAATGCATGTGCTTCACATCCATCACTGGAGACAATTACCTCTACTGAGCAGCACTCCATGGTTTACATTTTAGTTCCTTTTGTTTTTCCTGTAGCATTTTATTTCAATCATGAAAAAGAAGAAATATTTTCCCTGCCTTGAGGACCATAAAAATATGAGCTAGAGATGTAATTCTGCACACCACTACTAAAGAACACCACCACACATTCTTTTCATCGAGCTCTCCAGGTCCCACACCTTTTAGAAGATATTCCAGGAAGGACTTTGTTTTCCTTCCTTTATTCACAAATTCTAATCAATTCATACCCCAAACTGTTAGCACTTAAAAATGTTCAGCAGGAAGGAACAGCAGGAGGTGGATGCGATATTGATTCCTGCTCATTTAAGCTCCAGTTTATTTGGCTTTCAATTCCTTCTTTGTGGAAAAAAATATTCATTTGCCTTTATAAAACTTCATTTATTTTCCAGAGGCTTGATTAAAATTCAGTTTAGTATAAAACATATGAACATACTCACATGGCAAAGAATATGGAATAATGTAGCATTCTCTTGGAACTTAGATAAAAATAATGACAATAATAATCCATTAAATAGAATACTTTATTGTGGTGTTGACTTTATTATGTTTGGATAAATGTTCAGATGACTGACTTCTTTGTGCTTTGAGGCACTCCTGATATACTCCCCTCTTTCATTTCTGAAATCTTTTCTGCATGCTATTACTTTGATTTCTGAGGATGTTTTTACAAAATATTATGGAACATTAAATTAGTGCCTGTTTTTTTTTATTACTAAAAGGCATGGATTGGGACTAAGCTTGCTCTCATGGAACATAAAAGTAGTATAAGCAAGGTGGGGAAAAAAGATAGCTTTTCTTCAGAGACTGAAAATGAGATAGTAAGTCAATGAGGCAGAAAGATAACACAGTTCTGCTCCAGATTGTGGAAATGACCCAAGAGGGGGTTCATTTACCAAAATTGGTACTTGATAGTAACAGGCAAAAAAGGAATACACACAAAATGGTATGAATCTGGGTGAAGATGATTCATAGTGATTTGTGAAAACAATGCATGCAGCTTTAAGTAGTAGTTTGCATACAAATTAAAATATTAATATTTTCATACTCTTTCAGAGAATTGAGTTTGCTGCAATTAGCCAGGTAAAATACATAAGCACAAAAGCCAGCTATTTGCTCTGGTTTGGCCACTCTAATATCGTGCTATTATACAGAAATGAAAAATGAGAAAATGATGATTTCAGATCTTCTGCTAGTAGCATGATGATTACATGGCAGCTTTGATGTGGCTAAAATATCATTTTCCTTTCCTCCACTTTGCCTGGTGCAGACAGTGCTATTTCCCTTCTCTATACTGCTGCCCATGATCCCACACCATAAAGCTTCTTCTGAGAGGATGAAGAAATCTTTTCTGGATGGCAGCTTGAAAACCACAAAAAAATACAAACATTGTTTCAAAGGGAATGGAAGAAATGTGTTTTTACTGAATCAAAAAACCTAGTAAAGATGGCATGCTATAAAAAAAATATACGCAGATCCCAGATCCGCATTAAGATATAGCCCTGGATTTTTCAAAATTATTTTCCAGCTGCTTCATATTGTTGTGGGCAAAAGAAGCAGCTGCAGTCCATTTTACCTGGATGCTTAAACAACTGGAGCATACCAGTGAGTATTGCAACACGTTGTTTGCTTGAGGCACCCGCTCTGTGGTGCTTCCCATACCCAGGAAGTGAGAGCAGAGCAGAGCAGGGCAAAGGTGCTTCACTCGTGGCTTGCCCACCACCCACACCTGCTAACAGCTCTGCTCCACCTGCACAGGCAAGGTTGGTTCACCTGCAAGGAATGACCCCTTGCTCCTTGCTGCCACGCTCAAAATTCCTCCCCTAAATTAACTAAACCAATAGTTCAGATAAACCAAACAGCTCATTTGTTGAACACCATTACCATTAGTTTTTAAAAACCCATCACATTTATCATTTAAAATTTACTTGCCATATACGGAGTAAAAGCAGCCCCAATCTGAACTCCTTATCTACTCTGATCACCCCTGTGTTTCTCAAAACATTTTGGATTCTTCCTTTTTTTTTTTTTTTTTTTTTTTTTTCCTTGGTTTAAAGCAATGAACCATGCTTGGGATTGTCAGGAGTCAGTTCCAAAACTCTGTGGACTCTAGCACAAGTTTTTCTGGAAGTGGCGGGTTGCACAAAGAAACCATCAGATAAAGTGGGGGGTGCATGAATTTCAGGAATGGGGACATGAAAGAATAAACACTTTCAATTTTACAGCATGTAAAAACAGAGTGCAGCAGTCTTCCTAGTCAATGCCTAAGTATTTGGGATTAGGGAATATAAAACGTGACCTACAGTCATCCAATCATTAGCTAGACAGCCGTAACAGCTCTGGTTATCCAGCAGATCATAAAATTACAGACTTCAGGAATATTTTGGGCAGGAGACCATGCTTGGGGACAAGATCTTTCAGCACTCAGAAACCATGGGGCAGTTTGGGAATGTTTTGCCATTTTCTATCAAAGCTGTAGGTCTACACAAGCCTGCTATCTTCTCTGCTTTTTTCTTCACAAGTCCTGAACTCTGTCATTGCAAATAGCTGACATACTCTCGTGTATGAAGCTGTAACCTCCCCGCCAATCCAGTTACCATCTTATTTTGCAAGCCAGTTTTTCCATCTTGCATCTCTGCAGGTATCAAATTTCACTTTGAGCCAGCAAAGAGAGAGAAAGCAGCCCAAGATATGTTCATGCAGTCTCCTGCAAACCATCTGCTTTGCATGTGCTCTGATGCTAGCTGCAGGACCTGTAGACCCATTCAGTGTAGTGATAAAACTAGAATCCAAAAAAATTTCACCAGGGTAGGGAAAAAGGAGTTTTAACCCTTCTATTAATCTACATGAATGAAGGGAAGGCACCACCAAATGTTTTCCATGTCCTCCTTAGGTTTGTAAATCACACACCATAATTATGGACAGTATTATCATTTCAACACTTTACACATCTGTAATTTCTCTGTGGAATTAAATAATATTTTTATTTCCCCAAGTTATCTCAGTTACCATAAGCCACAGTAATTCTAAAATTATCACCTAAAATGGAACATTTTTTATTGCCTATGGCATTCTTTCAGCAAATTAATTTTTAATACCCAGGCATATAATAGCGAAAAGTCTCCTTAATGTATTATAACTTTCAACTTTTATATCTATAAAGGACACTCATTTCATAGCCTCAGTCTCTGTGGACCAGTTTGTAAACTTACGTACTCACTGTACTGACTTTAAAGGGACTGTACTCCCAACAAGTACTCCACGTGGATCCAGCAATGCACCAACCATCTCCATAAACACAGGAAAGACTCTTTTAAAGGGATTAAAGATTTTGGTGGGACAGGAGTTCACAGGGAGCCCATGAGGAAAAAGCAATTTTTGAAACACAGCACTGATTAGGTGCCAATATTCTTTGAAGAAGAAATTGCAACCAAGAAATGAAGTATGATTGCAATGAAGTATGCAACCAAGAAAATTGTCAATTTTGAAAAGCTTAGCAGTATTATTTAAAAAGGATTCTTTCAAATATCTCAGAAACAGATAAGATACAGACTAAAATTGAACACTACTGCATGGTCATTCATCAATGCCAACAGCTGTTTTTAGGCTACTGAAAACTTTTGACTATATCTCACAATAGTCCTCACTTCCATCTAAATTACCCCCAGCCCCCAAATGTAAATGCAAATGATTTTTACAAATTATATACAGAAGTGCAAGAGATGCACAATTTGGAAATTGCACTGTATTTTCCTCCTTAATAAAAGCTCTACTTATAAAGCAATGGTTCATAGAGCATTAAGAACTCAAGGAAGAATATTTTTCTATTCCTTTCTTGAATATTTTATACTTCTTCTACCATGCAGTAATTTTGACTGTTATTTAAGTACTCTCATTTAAGAGCTAATAAAAGATATAAATCAGATAGCTTTTACAAGATATCACAAGGAAGTTTTATGATCAAAACACAAACAGAAAATCCTCCATTGTATTGCTATTGAAATAATATAATTACATCACATCAAACATTTGTATGTTTTTTCCTTGCTTCAGGCACCTAAAAGAGCAAAATGGATTTTTATTCCATTTTAGAGAGGCTGATACAGTATTCTGCGCTTTGTCCTTTAAAGCAATCAGTCACTATGAACTCTAAAAAGCTTAGGTTCTTGAAGAAAAAGGAGTTTTTCTCTATTGACATAAAAATACTTTAGCTAAACAAACTCTTACTTAATGTTAACTTCATTTACTGCTGTCACAAACTTAATGCTGCTCGTAGTTCTATAAACATATTTATTTTAAATAAAAATCACCCCTTAATAAATGAGGCAAATCAGTATGAATCCTCACTGAGGAAGGACAACAGGAGATGATGATGATGATGATGATGATGATGATGATGATGATGATGATGGCGGCTTATTTCCAGTATGCTCAAACCCAAGAGCTTCTGAATGCCCCAGAGATACAGAAATGGACAGTAGGATGGACAATGATAACAAGGTCCCATGAACAAGAACAAATTATTTAAATTGCACAGCAGCTCGGATTAAAATTAATTGCAGACTAAAGATATATCAGACTGTCCAAGGCTGGCATTGCTCAGTTTTAAGAATATCCTCCACATAAGAAATATATCTTGCAGAAATATTTCTTCCCTCCACACACTCTAGTGCCAAGTTAAAGCTAATTTCTTTCTGTCAGTCATTCTCCATGGCATTGCCTCAGCAATTAAAATGTAATGTGTGCAAAAAGAAGCCCCACAGCATTACATGCTTCGATAAAACTTCTTTTTTAAGCAAATCAGCATTGCAGATACACTCCCTGTCCCAATAGTTTTAGCTTATTCATAACTGTTAGGAGTAATGAGAAGGGAATTAATCAGGAATAATATTTTAGTTCAGCTCTGATTCTTGATGGTATTATTTAGACAAATTGAACAAACTCTCCATAGTTCCCACATTGCTGATATTTATCTTGGATCACAGCAAGTGAAGCAAACATAAGTGCAGTCCCTTGATATCTGAAAAGTTCAGAAAAATATTACTTTCAAAGTATTGTACTTCTTGAAATTCTTCAAGAAATCTTCTTTATAAATAACAAACTCTGTCTTGCTAATCTATGGATAAATCTAATTATTAAAATGCATCTATTGATTAAGGTTAACTTGCCTTTTGAACTTGTAGAGGATGAAAGCCCCGACTGCAACTAGACAAACAACAAAGAGAACCACAATAGCCCAGTAGCCACTGCCTCCTCCAATCCTCTGAGAGTCTGAAACACAAAATAAAGGAACAGTTTTGCATGTCCCCTTCCACATCATTCACATTCTTGAGCATTCTTTTCTATTTAATTGTCAGGTCAAAACCACAAGTTGTTGTTTTTGCAGCCTCTTCACTCCATCTGGCTTCTTCAGAAAGGCAAAACCACAGAATTAGTTGGTGGCTTGTTAATGAAGAACAGAGGACCCATTTAAAAAATAGAAAGCAACAAACAGCAAAACCCAATATCCTGAATATTTAATTATTTGCATACTCAGTGATTGTTTGAGTTTTTTCAGGGAATCTGAAGTTATCATAGTAAATGATCACACACCCTACGTACTTGCTTTGCAAAAGCAGGGCTGTATTAATCTCACAGATGGAGAAAGGCTCTGAACAACAAATGAACTCATCAAGATCATGCATTGATAAAGGCTGGAATGAACATGGACTTCTTTCCATCCCTTTTGTGTTGGCAAACAAATGTCAACCCTTTACACCAGACAAGGTACCACAGTGAGACTGTAGCACAATTGTACATTAGAAACTAGATAAAAGAGCTTTGTTTTCTACAGAGAGATGACAGATAAAATATCACACCATAATTTACAAAATATTGGTAGTGGCTGGCTAAAGCTGTTCTCCCACAACACACTGAAATTAATAGAGGATATATTATGGGAGATAACGCACAAACAAGAATTACAGGACATTCTCATAAAAGATTCAAGTCAAAGCTGGACTTTATGGTTGAAACATCATTTTAATGTCTCTCTGTTTAAAATACACACAGATATGCACATATACTCTCTTCAAGCAGTTTCCATCAACAGTCAATCCAGGGAGACAGGAAATGCACACAACTTCCCCTTGCCCCCACCCCATCTCCATTTGTTTTAAACAGAGAAAAACCACAATTTATCTCAGGACAGGATTAGCAGTGTGGAGACCCTACAGCAACCTTCCCATTAGTTGATCAGAAGATCAGAGATACAGCAAGCCTTGTGTTAGAGCCAGTAGTAACAGCCACAGAGTTAATGGCTGATATAAGGGCAAAGAAGTTCTGCTCTCTTAGCAGCCAGATCTAAAGTGATTTCAGATCACCAGATGAGTTTTTGAATCCTAGCTGGCTCTTCCTTCAGGGCACTATTTTGTACAATGGAGGTATTTACTTTATGTTGTGGTTACACAGAAAAAGCAAGAAGCATGTGATACAAATTGTGGGGTATGACAAAATGGAAACATTAAAAAAAAATCATTTGGTTGTGATAGTTAATAATGACCAAATGCACAGAATTAGTTGGTGGCTTGTTAATGAAGAACAGAGGACCCATTTAAAAAATAGAAAGCATTTTTATATATATATAAAAAATCATAATGTATATGTGTTTATTTATATGTAACAAGTAAATATACACATATGTATTATATGTACACATACACATATATAAAGATATAAAGATTTTCTCCTTAAATTATTAGAACTTGAACAGGAATCCAAAAGTTAGTCTATTGATAGCTTTTTTTATATATTTACCTGAATCGGAGTCAGCTAAAGTCACTAAGACCCAGTATCCTCCCCTCAGAAAGAAACTGATGTTGTGTGCGTTCAGGGCCTGCTTTATAGCTGCTATTCTCTGAAAATACAACAGAGAGAATGTCAGATGTTTTGTGCTCTGTTCCACTTTGAGACACTCAATGTTCTGAAAAGGAAAACCTCTGATTCTTTAAATGGTGAAAGTACTTGTCAATGATGAGCTGAAATCTAAAAGAAATTCAATATTTAAAAATCAAGCAAAACTCCAGAAAACATAAAAGCTGAAAACATCACAATTTTATAGCCAAATCTTTCTTCTTGATTACCCAAGTCTTTACGTTTACCCACTATGAGACAGACAGCAAGCAATTTGCATGTGCTATTGGGTTTACCTGGGTCATAACTCACACAATGCATAACCCATATTAAAAGCCCCATTCTTCTAACCTATCAGAAGAAAACCTGTGATGTAACTTTGGATTTTTTGCCATGAAAATTAACTACTACTTAATAATGAACTGCACTTACCTTACCTCCTTACCTACAATGAATGAATTCCATTTATAGCTAATTTTTAACAATACTCCATAGAAATATATGCATTCATTCATGTGGAAAAAAAATCAGTATTCCTCCCATTTTCTTCCAGTGGATAGAGCATAGTGAAATATGGTCTCTCATATTTTTATGGAGCAGAACCATTAAATATACCCTCACATCCTAACCCCAGATGACAAATTGTCTGAATTATACTTTCTACTTGCTTGTGTCTTCAACATGGTCAATTCTCTAAAAGAGCAAAGCTAGTTTTATACTCTCTGCCTTATAATTTGAGACACGACTTCCCAGAGGATGCCAAATTAGAAATTTGCTTTATATCCATGAAACCTTCACAAGTAACTCCTGTTACTATATTATCAATTATGGTGCTCACCTTTGACATGCTTTTGAAGTATAAGGGATAAAAGTCCCTGTAGTCCCTCTCATATTATGGACAGACACTATACAAAAGTTCAAATATCATCATTCTTTTTGAGGAATATCTAATTTCTGAAGCTATTCTACTGACTTTATTATTTTTTTTTTTTTTATGTGGGAATGACTCAACGTAATGGTGAGCATAGCTTCAGTTATTTCACAAGACAATTACAGCAGACAGCTCCTAAGTATTTATCTTGTTGCCTAAAGCCTGAAAAGAAAATGGAGATGACAACTCCACTTAGGAGTTAGGAGTAGCTCCTCCTTAGGATTAGAAGGTTTTAAAGTGATGCTGCTATCAATGAATAAAGCTCCTTTGTATCAATCCAGGTTCATTCATGAGTTCATGGTGTATAGTGCCAGAGAGACAACTACTTCAGCGTAACCGACTTACAGCCAGTAAATGAAATTTCTGAGCTCCATAACTTTTGATTCCTCATATTTTCCTGGCAGGTTCATAAGGAGCCCAACATTTGGTGTGGTTTTTGCTTAAGTGATTAAGACTTGTGTGTTATTTAACTCTCCACTGCTGGATTTGTACCTAAATCTATATGAACAACGTCCTCAGGTCAAAAGCTGGAATCTCCTGTGAATCCAGCCAAAGGTTCTGGCTTGCTTATTTCACTGACAGACTGATGTTTTTTTCAGTGCTCATGGGGTTTTTTTTTCTGCCCCAAGGTATTTATTGAGCTCCTCTCTAGACTTAAGTTTCAGGTTCATATACCAGCATTTGAATTTTCCATCTGCTTTTTCTACATCCTTTACAATGACAATATTTGAACATGTGAACACGATGGCTCCTGCATTATAAGAATGTAAAAGAATGAAAAATAATGACACTGTTCAAACTCTTACCCACTTCTACATCTTTGGTTCTGACTTTTGCTTTTTGCCAAAGCAACTCACTTGGAATTTTTGTGAAGTAGTTTGTCTGGATAGAAATCTTCCTCAGAGCCCCTGCCTTCCAGATTATAGTTTAATTACATTTTAATTGAGTCTTTCAACTGGACTCATCCCACCTGATATTAGACATGCATAAATTAAGCAACCGAGTCTTCTCTGGAGTCTATAAACAGAATGGAATACTTTTGAAATTTCTCTGTTCTTGAAAGCAGGTTAAATCACTGTCAGCTTTTATTTCTCCCTGCATATATTTGAAACAAAAAGGGCTCTTGTCAGAGTGGAATAAAATTTCACAATTTCCAAGGGGCTCCTCCTCCTGCACTGACAGCTTACTTACCACCTTTGTTATTGATGGCTACTTTTGTCAGTAATGATTCATATTCTACACGACTAACCTAATAAATAGTATCACATCCCAACACTCCATGTAAAGCACCAATAAAAACTCCAGCAAGCAACTGTTACCTGCCTGAACAAGAAATTATTGCCTTTAAAATTTCTGAAATAATGTAATCCCAAATCTAAAAGGTTTTCAGCCAAGAACAAAGAGGTTCTCTTTAAGAAATGACATTTTATAACTATGTCTAAGTTAAGGGTATCAGAGACACCTCCTCCAAATGTGCAGAAAAAATTCTGCATTGCTGAGTCCTCACAAAAGTGTCACAACTCTGACTTTGAGAACTGGGATGAGCAGCATGACAAAGCACATATTTCCACTGTTTCATGATAAAAATCTTCAGAATTCTCTTCTAGTAACAGAAGGGAATGTAAGGAATCTTTAAATTTATGACAACATGAATATTTTCCTGTTGAGTTAGCAGAAGCTATTGTTTCTAAGTTTATTTATATAGGGTATATTTTCAGGAGTTTTCTCAAGTCACAATTGATTCTGATATATTTTATCAAAATTTTTGCCATTGAAGTCTAAAACAACAAATTTATCTGCACATATCAATAGCTAAAACAATGTCCATTAGCAATAATATAACACCAGAAACGTAGGCAGCTGTCACAAGACTGGCTGTACATCTCTACAGCACTGTGCTCTACAAAACAGTCGGTGTTGGGATGTGAGGCTGGTGTACCTGACTTATTACCACAGCACAGCACAGGCTGCTGAAATTGCTTCTGTCTCCCTTGTTCCTGCTCCAGCCATGGCTCTGACCTCGTTCATCCTAACAATGACAGAAATGTACACAGATTCTCCAGATTATACAATTACTGTTCCCTTCCCCTGCTCCTCTAGTCCCAGAAAACCTTTGCAAGGTCTTACTGGAGAATTAATTACAAATCTGTGTCCTGCTACACTACTGAAACATCCCTATGGCCCCACAGAATGGAAGCTTTTACAAATCGTTTGCAGCATGGGATTGCTCCTCTTTATGCTCTAAAATAACTCACATGATGTTTCATACACAAACATGAGAAAAATCTTGAGACAGCATTGATTTCAACTGATACTCTTTAAGCTGCCTTGAAGCACAGCACTAATATAGAATTTGAGATTTAAAGGGAACTAATATGCATAAAACTTTGCACTGAAGTAAAATGTTTGTACAACCAAAATAATCTATCACCATTAGTTTCCTTAAATTATTGAACATGTCCATTCCCCACAGGCTCAGAATAAGGAATTTCCTTTAGAGGCTTCACCTTGCTTCCTCAAGAAATGTGAATTTTCAAATAATTTTGAAGCGGTAATATTCCTCTGGCTGAAAGCCTTAGTTCATGAATGGGTCTCTAAAAAAAGAAATAACTACTAAAATTAACTATTTCCTGCAACATAATCAGGAATCAGACTCCCAGGAATTCTCACTGTGATTACATGGGAGAACAGTAACGGTGTCTGCCAAAAAAGTAGAAAGCTTTGTGCACTCACACATTTTAATGACAGACAGCTGTTCAAGTACTTGGACAACTTCAACATACTCCTTTGGACCTTCCAGAGCATATCTCATGAACTCCAAACACAATCTATTTGGTTTATGTTAATATGAAGAGCTTTGTCTTACCTACTTCTCCAGCTCTTCGGAGACCATGACCTTGTCTTAAAAAGCTGTAAAATGCTCTTCAAAGTTAAGGATACCTTACACTGATTCTTTGTAACTGACAGGAAAAGAACTGCAAGGTACAGGCACAAGCTAGCATCTGTTTCTTCTCTATCACAGCAAAAGGACAAATACAATAAATTGTAAGTGTCAAACAGTCTTCTAGTTTTCAGCTGGCATGAAGTCTTTTACTATGGAGGAAACTGTTTGAAAACAACTAGGGAGAAGCTAATATCTGATTTTCAATCCTGTATTCACTAAATTTGTTTTTTACCAATTGAAAATGACATTTTCTTACAAGGGCAGAAAATACTTACTTGATGCTTTTTACATTATGGGTCAATGACTAAGGTTCTGGGTTTGTTTGGACCTGAAATCTAATTTCCTTCTGAAGACAGTGCAGAGACTCTTTGCTCTACTCTTCGCTTCACTTAATGGCATGCATCACTACTGTTTCTGTTTAAAAGATAGACCAATATTAAATATTCTTGAGAAACACACTAATACCAGAAAGAAGCAGAATGCTGCTCTGGACACTGTCAAACACAGCAGACATAGCTGCTGTAGCATTCACATATACCTTGTCAGATGGGAGTGAGATCTTTACATAGGCAGAGATCACCTCTTAATTTCATATAAAGACAATGAGACTACAGCCACTTATTGCACAACAGGATGAAGGCTGTCCTAGGCAGATGTGCATTGCTCTGGTTACCTTATCACTTGTTATGCTTCTCTTCTTTTTTGGTTGATTTGCTGGTAGTAGCACATGCAAGTCAGCAGCTGTGGGCAGACCAGGTTTCACAACTGTCATGAGCGTTTCTTCAGGTATACTGGTCTCCTGTGAAGACAACAAAGACACACTTTGTGTTTTATATAAAACACATAAGTAACTCCAAAAATGGCTTTTAGACTTCATTGTTCAGATCCTTAATATTTAAAGAGAATTCCGCTAGAAGCTGAAACATGAACAAGGCCAAACATAAATGTACTGAAATGTGAGTTGCTCTTTGAATATTGGAAGGCCTAAGTGTTGTTATCACATTAAAGTAATTCAGTGGCATCAAGAAAAGAAGCAAAATGAAGAGGTTTTCAGGTCTTAGAAAAACTCTGCAATGGCCGAGCACTTCTGAGGTAACATACAAAAACAATCCTAAGTGGTTTAGGATCCTTTGTGGGCCATTCAGACACAGTGTAGACTTAGAAGTGCATATTCATTACAGCTAGCTTTAGCTTTTGAAAGTTGCTTAGGAAGGTGCTTAATGGACAGAGAGAAGTCCTTCAATGTACGACTAAGAACACTCAGGTTCAGCTCCTGAAATTGTAATGAATACCTTCATTCCCCTGCTGAAAGTCAAGTGCATCTCTTAGTAAAATAGTTTGTGTAAATTTGGCTTTTAGTCCCAAATTTCTCAATGTTTGTACAATGCAGCCACACAATTCTAGTGACCATACCATGGCCACTTTCCTTGGCCTTCCTCAAACAGATTCTGAAACTCCATTAAATTGTTTGTATACTTTGGCAAATGTTTCAGTAATTATTAAAATGCAGGAGTTATTTTATAGGGGAGTAAACTATTTTTTGACTGACATTAGTGAAACTCATTATGGAATGAGTTTAAGTTGATAAAAGCAAGAAATTAATTCAACATTTGATAAGAATCTCAAAAAAGAAAAAAAAAAGAAAGCAGGAAAGTATAAAGTCAAAAAGTTTAGAACCTGATTTGCACGACTGCAAATCCAGGCAGAGTGAAATTATTTAAAATTCCAATATTTTATAAACAATATCAAGCTGTACCTCAGTGCTACTGCCCTCATGAAAGCCAGTGTGTGCACCCCCTCAGTTGCTGGCAGGGTGTGTGCCTGCAGAGCTCTCGAGCCCAAAGGTTTCCTTGAGGTGATCTAATGCCACAGCACTACTGCATAGTTTGTATTTGATTTAACCTACGGGATTCAGCTGTTCCAAATCCACATTTCTTTTGTGAACATGCTCTGAAAAACAACTTTACAAACTGTGTGCCTATATATTATACATAATTTTCAAAGTTACAGAACAAGCATAGGAAATTCTTTCTTTCTGCTTTGTTTTTACACAAAGATGATGTCTTTTACATTACACATTGCTTAGCTTCTAAATCTATCACATTTAAACTACTTAACTCTTCCGGCTTTGGAGTCAGCAGTGTTGGCTAATATGTCTATCCCTAATCCCAGAGAGCAATATTTATCATTAATTGCCAATTAGGCTGTGTTAGACCTAAACTGTCTGTGTTACAATATCACTGTCGACAGCTTGCACTTAAAAGTGACACTAGGCGCAAACTTGCATGAAATGTGGCTCATGAGGTTCACTTTATTATTCTGCTCAGCCTCCATTTCAAAAAAACCTTCTAAATGAGAAGGGATTAATTTAACCTTCAAGCTTTACTACTGGCGAGGGAACATTTTATGACCAATCTGAACGAGCACCTTTGCAAGAAGTCGTGTCACCACCCGCCCAATGTCTTCCCTCCACTCTGGTATGTCAGGGTTGTACTTGTCCAGGTCCTTAGTAAACTTCAGAGGAAGAACATGAAAATAATCTAGAAAAACAAAAAGAAATAGCAAGAAATAAACTAGATTGCAAAAGGGGTTTGATAGAACTAAAAGTCTCTATTTAGCACTTTTTGCTGTGCAGCACCGCAGTATCTAGGACCCCTGCTGCTCTCTGTTGTCAGGCATTCCATTTCTTTCTGTATTTTCATCAACACCATCAAAATTGTGCCCAAAGACTAAAGAAAGGAGGAAGAAAAGGAAACAAAGCAGATTTATATAAATGCTCTGGGGTCATAATGCTCCCAATAATTTTGCCCTAGCTAAATAAGGGAGCATTAAAAAAAAGTCATTGCTTTCTATTATTTGAAATGATAATGTACAAATGGATTTTATTCTCACCGAATCATAAGCATGTGGGGGTTTTTCCACTACACATTTCTGTTTTCTGTATAAAATCAATACGTTACTCCATAAATTAGATATGAAAATAAGAACAAAAATTATATGACAAAGACTAAATACTTCCCTCTTTGAAGAAAAGATAAAACAAAGGTACACCCGTAATATTTCTCTGGATAATGTTAAAAATATCTGAAATACTAGAAATGGGATGATCCTCAGAAAATAGTCTCTAAAATCTTCCCTTTCTCCCTACAGGATCCTTGGATGAAAACCTAGGGATCTTAATGCAAAGCAGGGATAGAGAACCTCTGGAATGCACAAGTCAAACATGCTTCCACTCAGTATTTCCAACGGAATTTTATTTTAACTTGGCTTTCTTTTTCAAAAGTTTATTTTCCTGATGGCCAGTACTTTCATGCTCTTGATATCAGGATTGGCAAAAGAAGAACTGGAATGATAAAACCATTGATGTAATCACACTAAGAAGGTTACACTTCTAAAGATTTCTTAAAAAGCTGATGCATTTATAAGTAGTAACATAAATATTGTATCCATTTATCTTTGAAAATGAGAAGGTTCATAAAAGCTCCATTTAGCATAAGTGGGGGTTTTGCCATTATTTCAAATTAGTAAGTATACTAAAAGCAAAAATAACAGAATCTTCTTCAGACAATAGAGATGTATCACATCTTGTATTGCATGATATCTGAAGGCTTTTAGCTCTGCATTAAAATAAAAGCTTTTATGCTTATCACAATTCCCACACGTGACAGCACAAATACAAATGTAAATAATTTCCCAGCACTGCATTTTCCACAGTATATTCTGCCTTGTCACCACATAATAAAACACAAAAAGCCACACGAGAACACAGTATGGAACAAGAGCTGAAGGGTTATTTAATAATTACAGCAGAGCTATATTTGATCCAAAATCTCAGATAAACATCAAGGTAACAGTGACATATTTTGATGAAAGGCAATGATTTGACATGGTTTTCAATGCTGAGAGCCTTTTTTTTTCAGAGGTATTTAGACTACTTTACTTACAAATTCTGGGAAACTTTCTAGTCACAGGTCAAAATACTACTTAAACACATATTGCATCTGGGAACCACAGTAACATTTAAAATAAGCAAAGGAAACAAAATGTTAGAGATTAAACCTCTCATAGAATCCCACTGTTCAGCTTTGTGGAGTTATTTAGTGACTGTTCATGCCTCTAATTTTAACAATTAAATCTGGCATTAGATTTAATTTTACAATAGGTTCACTTGTGGTAGGGCTGGTTTTAGAGGTCCAGTAAAATACATATGAAACAGAAAAAGGAAAAAGACTAATGTCTCACCAAAAACATGGACAACTTTTGAGTCCTGAAGCATAGAGCTCCCACAGGAAACTTGCACTGTAACTCTGACATCACCTGTCTCAGCAAACTTTGTCACCAGAAAACTCTCCAATGTAAGCAGTGGCTTTAAAAAAGCAAAGAATAATTGAAAACAGAATTTCAGCAAGAACCATGAGAAGAGTGCTGGAAGAGACTGTTGTTAAAAATATCACCAAAAAAATTGCACATAAAATTTAAATTTTTCAGTATTTTATCAAATTGATCAATAACAATTTTCAATATAGAATTTGTCTTTCCATAAAGGATCCTACATAATCAGAATAGCAGCCAGATAAGGAAAATATTTCTTTTAGAGTAATCAGTCAAGTATTGGGTTTTCAGTCAGATCTCACTAAAATTAATGGAGTCTGAGGGAGACTCAACAATCTCTACAAGATTATATGAAGAAACCCATTTGCCTCAAAAAATGTAGGGTATGTCAGGGTCAAAAGGATTAAGGCTGTCAGCTTAGAGCACCAGCCCACAGTCACCTCTAAGGTGGAGTTGAGATACTCTGTTCCTTTACCACATCCTTAAGAATGACAAAACCCTTCACAAGAGCCTCAGTGCTTCTTCTTGCAATGGAAAAGTCAATAATGATGAACAGATACAGGCTGGGATTAGGGTAGACAGCACATTCACAAGAAGAAAGTTCACTGCACTTATTTGAAGCATTCCTCTGTCACACTTAGTCTCCCTCATGAAGAAAAGATTGTACTTTTCTGTTATTGAAAAAATTACCTTAAAAGAAATTAAGCCAGCCATACAATAAATATTCCCCAGCAGAAATACTTGGATATTTAATGCTCTAGGACATGTTTATATAGACTTTGATCCCCAAATGAATAATGCTAGATTGTTTGAGTGCTCTCAATGATTTGATGTCCTTTAAGATAACACATTTATTTTTGATAAGACTGTTATTTTAGACTCACAGAGAACATTTATCTATACAATGAAAAAAACTAAACAACCTATATATATATATATTTGTTCAGCACTTCAATTTACATCACTCATGTTATTAGCTTGGAAGTGCATAAATCTAAGTTTCATCATTCACCAGTTATGATCCCAAATGCATTCCCCTCTAGAAGTTGGGTTTTTTTTTCCCACAAGTAATGAAGTAGAAGAAATTGTTGTTTCTCCCCCACAATGCAAACAGTTTGGAAATTGAAAGAAAGGGACAATCTTTATTGGAAAGAGATTGAAATAATCTCTTGAAATAATCAAAACCATTTGTGTACCTGAAGATTGTTTCCTATCCACCAGTAGAAAACTGTCAAATTAGGATTCTTAGGCAGTATGATGGCTGTCAGGTTCACCTCCTGGTTTCTCCCAATGACTGGAACCACTTCTAAATTTAAAGCCTGGAGTGGAGCTGAACAAAGTTCCAAAAATATCACTGAACAAGAATTCATCTGTTTATTAACACCTCCTTCCCCAAAAGCCTCCCACCTGTTCACCATAAAGTCCTGAATTTATTTTTCCCTCCCTCCTTCCCTTCCTCTTTTACATTCATGTTGAAAGCTATGGACATAACTGGAAAGACTTCATTTCAACTACAAAACATCCCCCAGATGACCCCAAAACCCCTCAAACCAAATCTTAAAGCAATAAGACAGATCAACAAAATGGGCTTCTCTCATGCCCATTCTTTTCATTCAAGTCCAGTTTGAGAACACATAAGCAAATACTCCAGATAAAAACTGAAATCTTTTTTCAATCTCAGCTTTTTTTTTTCTTTTTTTAAACTCAGTAACAAAAGTTCAAATGAATAGAAATCTAACAAATCTCAAATTGCTAAGGGAAAATCAGAAAACTGAAAAAGACTGCTGCTGACTACTCATTTTCATCATAAAATATCAGCTGTTAGGCTCACACAAAAAATCTCATTAATTCATGCTTTAAAATAGATCTGTACATCAGGGGAGCATTTATTTGCAAATCAAAATAGATAACCTCTGGACTCCAAAATGTGCCTTAGAGTAAGTTTATTCCTTTCTGAACTACTAAAAACATAAACATTATTATTTGTTTAAAAGAAATGCATCATTACAATGGTTTTATCTGCTTGTGTTATGTTTATTAGTCTTGTGCTGTTTCACAGTACAATAACTGTGTTGAAAGAAAATCTTTCCCTCAGAGGTTTCCCAGTATATCTTTATCAGAATGTCTGAAGGTAACAGCTTTTTAACAGTACAAGGTGGTAACTAGAATTTTTTAACTTGTTCACCTGCACCAAGTACCTGGGATATGAAACCACTGTACAGCTCAACATTCATTCATTATACAGAATGAATACTAACCAATCCATTTCTGTTCCATTCTAAATATCTTTTAACTCATTCAAAGGTTTTTCATCTCAGTGCAAACTTAATGGCAATTAACACTGGTCTAAAGCATTTCTCTTATTTTGTATCAGACACTGAGTCATTGCTGGTTCATTTCTAATTTCACTTCGACTAGACTGACTGAACTGCTGAGAGCAAGTTGTCCAAAGTCCTTTTCCACCTCACTTCACCTAGTCTGTGTGGTGCTTCATCCGAATGTAAGGCTCTATTTTACTCTGCATTTTCTCCAATAAGTCTTTAACCACCTACATGAATTCAAGAAATGTTGGGTGCTTTAACAAATTATCTATTTAGTAGCTTCCAGAGGAGTAAAAATGCTTCTCCGGTGATGGTGTCTTGAAGAAAATTCAGAAATGTTAGGAATTGCATTAAATTTGCTCCTCCTAGAAATAAATTTTCCTCCTGGAAGAATCTGACGAACTTTTTTGCTTTTGCCGTAAATTTGTGTTTTCACAGAGGAAACTGATTACTTTGAGATATGGTTTTGTTCGTGAAGAAGATTACTTTCTTTTCCAAGATTTTTAGAGGCCAAGTTGTTTGTTACTTGAATGATGACTGTAATTTCAAGTTTGCAGCTTCTACATATTGAATAGCTAAGAATAATTTCTGCAAATCCTTCTGCTTGTCTCTGTTACACAATTCTATAGTGCATTTGAACAAACTTCATAGCACCCTTAAGTGTGTACAATTAAGACTGAAGTTACGTGATTTCTATTTAACTAAGTTAAAATTTCAGTAGTTTCCAAAGTTCCACACTATACAGGTCATGGTTCCATGAAAAATAAAATGCATGCAGCATATGTATTAATGTATGAATGCAGTTCTTCTTTAGTTCTTTTTATTCTGATTTCTTGGGCCTCTCCACTTGCCTACTCACATTTGTGCTAATTCTAATTCCTAATTTCTCTTGCAGTTCATTAGAAAGTTGTAGATTATTTAATCTGGATCAGAAAGTACGATTTGGATGACAGGCCAAAATTCTTATAATTGTCCTTCATTACAGAGTGTCCCATAGCAATGTGGCAGAAGTGAAAAGACTTCCTCTACCATTTGCCTCTGGAAAAATTCCCTGGGAATAATACGTCAGTTGGAGACTGCTGACTCTTGAAAGAAGAATTCTACAGAGACCCCTGCTTTCATGGTATTCTACAGTGAAAAATGTCCCTTAATGGCTATCAGTGTTTCACTAGAACGTAGAAATTGCAGTTTAATTAGTGCCAACTAATTTCCTCAAATATTGTGATTTACCTAAAAAAATTAAACAGATCAAATCACATGGAAAGCATTTACTCAAGCAGGCTGTGTAACACACTGCCATGAGTCTGCCAGTCCCTGTGCAGCACCCAGGGGCAGGCTCAGGAAGGGATCACATCTGCTTCAGTGCCCTGCTGCCTCTGCACTTCAGCACCAAAGCCCCACAATGCACCAGTCATTTACTTGTGTGAAACAACTCTGCTTTCTGCAATTTTAAAATCTGCTGCATAAAAGAGAATCAATGTCTTTTAGTTTTACTGTTTATTCTAACAAAGACCATATTAAAAGCACACTTTGAGAAAGTCTTCTGCTTTCCATCAGGACTTGCTGCTGCTTGTCATTCTCTGAAGAGTTAGAAGTTATTCTTGGAGAGAAGAATGTCACACAATTTTTTCCTGTTTATTGCATAGATCTACTACTTCCTTGCCTACTCCCCTTCTCAGCACCTAGAAGCTTCTCAAAAGGAACAGTGAAGCCCTAAGTAATTTATCTGAGCTCTCTGGGGTTGTCAAATGATTTAAAAAACAAACACAACGAAGAAACAGATAATGAAACTGAGTTGTAAAGTTTGATTCTGATTCTTTCTGCTTGATATTATCTGCAGGATATTATCTGCAGGAGACTGGTCTTTAGCATGAATGTGTTTGGCTTTGTCTGCTACTCAAAGAAGAACTGGAAATTCTGAACTCAAGGACACTGACTAGCAAAACACAAAAATATCAGCTCAGCAGCCACTAGACAAGCTGACATAAAGCAGATGGCTGTGTGCACCACCTGGTATATGGCTCCAGTGATTTCCATTGCTTTGGAAGTAGGATGGAAGACACACCACTCACAACAGAGGGAAACTGACACCTGGAGAATGCAAGATGAGTATCTTTTCCTTTGATGTTACTCGTTTCTGAATTTTTTTGACACATCTGAAAACAGGCAATAGCTGTCTTGAATCTCAAAGGAAGAGGAGAAATCAGTTCCACTTTTGAGTTCCCTTCTTCATTTCAGTTATGAGATGACTGAGGTACATTAAGCTTGCAATGGTGCATGATATTCCCTGGGCTGTGCTATTCTTTATTTTATATCTGTTTGATTGGGTTTTTTCAGTCTTAGTTAAGGAGAGGAAGAGAAGAACAAGTCAAGTAATACTGCCTGCAAACACGAAGTTATATCCAAGCACCATTTAAAACTCTGAGAATTAACTACCTAAAATTTAGATTTAGATCCACTGAGATTTTGACTATTTTTAAACTCATACAAGAACTCATGTTTCCCAACACATTTGTTAACTTGCTTTACATTGCACCTGGAAGCTCTACAAAGACATAGCTCAAAGTATTACATTTTAGCTGCTAAGACTGACAAGGGGTGTTGAATCAGGAAGATGGATCAAGCCTGAAATTTATATGAAGCATGCTTGTTATTTAAAAGATTAATAAACCATTCTTCTGCCAAATCCAAACAATACTAATTCTAACCTCCTACTGGATTAGGTTGATAAGCCTCAGCATTAACAACACACAACACTGCAAGATTGCATGAGGATATTGAAAAAATACGGTCTTTCCTAATTGCGACTAGCAATTTTCTTTCCTACTTCATAGCTGGCGTGAGGTTTGTACACAATGGCCAAAGTAAGAAAACCAAAGAGCTAATTTACAGTTGACTTGGACGAACACCACAGCCTCGTCATGCCCAGCCACGTTCTCAGCCTTCACGGACACGCGGTAAATCCCGGGATTCTCGTAGCGGTGACGGATGGGCTCGCCAGTCATCGTCAGGTTCACGTATATCGCCTTAAAGCCGTCTCCAAGATCTACCTGGTATTTGGTACTCAATACATCACCCTAAAAGGAAAACACATCAAAGATATCTTCAATGGCCGCAACCAAAATAGACAGGACACATGTTCATAACCTTTTATGGAATCACAACAGCGTTTTCAGCCCCAGCCAGACATTGTGACCCAATTGCAACGGCTGCAGTAAAATCACTACTGCCATGGCAATTCCATTAGCGCAACAGATGCTGTGTGCACTAACAGAGAAATTACCATGTTTACAGAGCAAGGTGCTACCTCAAAATTATATTCCCCAGACCACTAACCGAGTTGTACGGCACAGAAACCAACACTCTTCTCTTAATGCAGCTGGACATTATGTAACATAATGGCACAGGGCAGCCCCAGGTTTAAAAGCGATGCTCATGTGATTGTAAGCAACCGGAAATTGCTATTTTAGCAATTTCCTACTCATCACACAAGCTTCTAGCCCTTGCAGTTATAAAGTAAAATTAACTGGTTTAGATGTTCTTCACAGCACTTTCCAACCACCCCTTCTTAGTGTCAACCAGCCTTTAAGACCTAAGCTGGGATCTTCACACAGAGTTGTAGAGTGTTACACTGAGCTACCAGCATGCCAAGAACTAACATGCTCTAGTGCAAAATTAGATGCATCCTTAATAAAGCAGATCACTGAGCTAAGTTTGGAAAATGGTTTAAAAGTCCAGTCAAATAATTCTGTCACGTCAAATAGCTCATGGAATTTATAATTCATAATACTTCTGCTAAGTGCTCCTTTAAGTGACACTGTGTTCCTAAACTCAGGCCTAAAGTACCACAAGGCTGATACCACTGTCAGAGGACAAAGATTGCCATCACCCATGTTGTCATGGGCTGCTCAAGAGAGAAATCAGGCCTGTGCCACATGGACTGGTCATTTGGTTGCAGTCAAAGGAAAGTTCGTTTTAGTTGTGAGCAGCAACAGTTTCTCAATACTACCGGCAGCAGTGCCTGAGCAAGGGGCCCTGAGTCCTTGACCTCCAGCAGTGTGGATGTTCCTGCTTGCTTCCCAGAGATCATGGCAGGCTGCAGGGCCAGGTTTCATAGAAAAGCCTCTTTGTTGTGGAAACACAAGTATTGACTTCAAAAACTTCTTTGCCTCTAGGAAAGGAATGTATATATACACCCATACGCTGGTCAAGTGACATGAAAGGCCATCAAAGCAGAAAAGGATTGACATTAAAGTATTCAAAAATCACTTAATTTCTCCAAAAGCTACTCTCTGAAATTGCTTTATTTCAAAATTTAATCCTAAAAGACACTAATGTAATTCTTTTCATGATGACAACAATCAGTGATTGCAAAAATCTCCCCAGGAAACAGGTGAATTACCCAGAGTTGGACAATTCTAAGATTTAGCAGGAGAGGTGCCAGGCATCTTATCCTATGCTTTTTCCAATAGAGGTTGGACCAGATGATCCTTGAGGTCCCTTCCAACCTGTCAGCCTATATTTCTAGGATTCTTTGAAAATCAAAGGAGATATCATGCCTAGAACCTATATACCCTGCCATTATAAAAGGTACATACATTATAAAAGGTACATTCCTCCTTTTATTATCTTGCAGTGTGGACAATTTTCTTCTATGTTTTATCACATGAAACAACATTGCTTATCATGTAAAAAATTCCCATAATAAGGAACCTGTAGGATTATCAAATACCTAAGCACCGTATTTCAAGACATATAAAGGACTGTGAAAGCCTCTTCATTGTGAATAGTTTTTTCCCAAATAACATCTTTCTTTTGACAACAGAAGAGTAGAATTTTGCAGAGGAGATAATATGTTATTAAAGTTTAAAGCAGAAGAGATATCTCCTTGCCAGCAATGTGTTAGTAAGTGGAATCTCTTTAGATGACATTAGCTTGCATACAATTCTTGTTCACTGTGTCTAATGCTAACAAGTGTACACACATATTTTTTCCCGGTGAGACAGAAACCAGCATTGAAAGACAGTAGAGGAAGGTTCTCTTAACATCTAATAACTTCCCTAGTGTAAAGATGAGGGTGCTTTTTTCAAAACACCAAGGTATTTCTATTTGCTGACCAGTAAAGACAGAGAATGGAGAGATAGCAAAACAGCAACAAAGGGAAAAGGCAGATAAATCTATAAGGAATTGGGACATCCACTTCCATAAAAAATAGGAGATTGTCATGACATTATTTATTCATATATTCAGCCAATAAAATTTGGGAAAAATTATGACCATTATGGCGCATTTATTTGTTATTATTATTTCTAAGGACAGTTGCAAACTGCCCAAATGTACCAGAAGCCTGCTTCCTTTCCTCTCTGATGTCTGCTATTCCTGCACCTAATAACATGCATTCACAGAAACTAGCAAATTAATTTTGTTCACCAGAGAAAGTAGTATGTTTTGGTTTGTTGAAGAAGAGCCGATTCTTAAACTCAGTAATTGTTTTGAATTCTCATTAGATTTTGTCATACAGATTAAGTCCTAAGCAGTGCTCAGAACATTTGAGTTTAGATATTATTCTTAGCCATAGAGGGCACCAAACTGCTATATTTCTTCTAAATCTGTCTTCCTCTTTGATGTATGGAGCAAAGACTTCACCAAAAGGCACAGCAAGGGATTCTCTTCAAGATCCCTTATTACTGAAGATTTGTGAATAATTTTAAATGTTTTTCATATTGCCACAGAGATTCATGAAAGCTTCAGTAGGAAAAAAGTCAAACTGCCAATCAAAATCATTAGAGTCCAAATTGTAACCAAATGCTCTAGGCTTACAATAAACATTTCCAAACAAACTCTGAAAAGAGAAGGCAGCAGGACTTGCCACACAAACTGTTGGGGCACTGCATGCACTGGGACAGAGCCTGCGAAGCATTAAGCAGCCCAGTGTTCTGCACGTAACCTTCTTGATTCTATTACAGAAATAAATCCCAAGTGCTCGATTTATACAGCACAGGTTTGCCAAAATGTGTGAACTTTCTTCAAGTTCTTGCAAACCAGTGGGGTTAGCCAGGATTACAATACACTGGTAACCTGAGCAGAGCAGTTATAGCTTAATGCTAAAAAACAAGCATGAGAAAACAAACCCATGGCAAACAATTCATCCAAAAGTTACTCACTGCTGTTGGTCAGGGCCTTAGGGAATTGTCTCTCAATAAACAGAAAAAAAACCCATATCTTTGGCAACACAACTAATATAGAAAAAATATTCTTATGCTGAGCTATTTGCTGATTTCTGTAAGGCTTTGCCTCATTCCTTTCTGAAAGGCTGATTCTCAAAAATACCTAAACCCTAGTATTAAATGTTCTCTCCATTTTAGTTCTTCTCTGATACAGCACTTGAAATTTTCAGTCCAAGAAGACTTTGGTAATACAGTTACTCTGATTTTCCAAGAAACCAGTGCCTTTTCTGCTGAGGAGACAAATCCTGTTCTGTGGGTAGAATCTGGAGGTTCACTGAGTTTAATGGCTTATCTTACTCACTTGAAATCAAGTTTCAGTGTTTAGAAAACTGTTAATCTTTGTCTCAAGCATAAATTAATCTTCATTCAGCAACACAACAGGTAGGAATGAAATTAACCCTAAAATCAGCAATTCGACTTCCATGTAGCCAATGTTTATTACTACCTGCTCTTGTTGGACAATGAAGGTGATGTCTTCCCCAGGCCTAACAGCCAGGCTTTCTTCTCTGATGCTGATCTGAAGTCCCTTGGGAGCAATCAATGGACACATATGGTGTGCTAAGTTCTGCTGCAGGTCTACTCCACCTTCACACACATTAGAAACAACTTTCCTGTACCTGCAAAAACAGTAAACAGTGGGCACAGTGAATTGGAGGTAAGCAAAAGCATGCCAGCAAAGGCACCAAATGCATGTGTGATTGAGGCCACTGCATTTTCCTTGGGTTCACAAATAGACAAGATTGCAAATGATCAAAGCCAACTAACAATGCAAGTACTTTCACTGGGGACATTGCCTTGACTAGGGGAAACCTGCTGAAGAAAGAGAGTGTAGAGAATGGATGAGAATTTCATTTGCATGCATTGGAAGAGTCTGTGTTTTCCAACTTAGAAACATGCCTGACTAGCCCTCAGGGACCTAGACAGTCTGCTGTCCTCTCTGTCATCCCCTTTTCTAGCATCCAAGTCTTCAATGCTCTAGAGGTCTTGGTTCAAATCCCAAAGATCGGGAAGGAATTAGACCAAACAGCTTCTACATTAACCCAGAACTAATTGCTTAACTGCTGCTTCCAAATCTATTCGTTTCTTAAAACACTTAAAGCATTTGTTTAATGTAACTGTATAAAATAGTGAAAGGACTCACACTTTTAAAGTGCTAATAATGTAATAGTCGGATGTGTACAGTAATTATTTACAGATCACTTTCACACAGGTATCTTATTTTTAAACATCCTTTACAATCAGAGTTATATTTCATTCTTTTGATTTCCCACTCTGTATATCCCAGCTGTCAGCCACAACCCAAAAGGCAGCATTTTCCTCTGTAAGGTAAATATACACAGAGACTGTGATTCTATTGCCAGATTGGACATTTCAGCATTTGGTTCTCATCTCCACAACCGACTGTGATGGTGTTATGATAAGCCAGAATAGATGCCAGCTGCAAGTTATTCTCAGCACAGACGTCAGACTACATTGTAGTGTATATTCTATGCAGTATTGTTTATAGTTACTAAAGCTTTCCTTTGATTCTGAGTGTCCCATATGGTCAGGAAAAGAATCTATTCTCCACAGAACTCCTTACCCTTATGGAAGTGAGAAACTTGGAAATTCTGTGAGATGTTGTCAGTTCCTCAGAGTAATTCATTGGATCCAAACTGAAAATTATTCTGAACCCAAGAAACAAGCTAAAAGAAAAGGCTATGAATGAACATTCCTATCAGAAGTGTAATGATACAAAATATTACCAAAAAAATTTAAAATTTTTAAAAGACAGCTCCCCCTCTTCTCAAACGGATTAGTTTTTAAACCACTGTGAACACACAAGACAATATTTTCCTTTCATTAGTCTGTAGGAAGCTTCTGCTCATGCTCTATATCAGAATCAGAACTTTTCCATTTGCCACTTTTTACAGTTTGCCTTATTTACATTTCATAGAATCATAGACTGCTTTGGGTTGGAAGAGACCTTAAAGATTTTTTCTTTCCAACCCCCCTGTCATGGACAGGGACACCTTCCACTAGATTAGGCTTCTCAAAGCCCCATCTAACCTGGCCTGCAACACTTCCAGCACTTCTAAAGATGAGGAATCCACAGCTTCTCTGGGCAACATGTGCCAGGGTCTCACCATTCTTACAACAAAGAATTTTTTCCTGTTATCTAAGCTAAACCTTCATTCCTTCAGTTTAACTCCATTACCCCTCATCCTATCACTACGTGTCCTTGTGTAAAGTCCCTCTCCAGATCTTTTGTAGACTCCATCTAAGTATTTAAATGTGAATTTCTTTCAAACCACATTTGGGGTTGCTGGTTGCAGCCTCTACCCCTCTCTGGAAGCCTCATCAAGCCCATGAAATGCAAAATCAGCTTACCCAGTGCTGCTGGTGTATGCCTGCCCCAACACACAGTCTTCAGGAGGTGCTTCTGGATTAAACCAAAAGTCAGCAAAGCATTTGCTGGACTCCAGCTTCAGAGGTGCAGAGCGCTCAAACCCATAATCACTGAAAAACACCAACACCAAACATGTTACTATTGCCACTTCACCCTGCAATCCAGCTTCGGGTGAATGAAACTACATTTTTCAAAGTCCATATATTTTTCCAGTGGTATTCTACTAGATGAACATACAAGTTGATGAAGCCAATTCTGTTCTAATTTCAGTGGGAATTGTGTACACTTGGGGGAAAAACTGGTTGCAATTACTTTGTCAGTTCTGGAAAATTACCTCCCTTGGTAAAAAAAGATTTTTTAAAGGTTTCCTTTGACACTCAGACCAGCCATTTAATTTCTTTTTTTTTTTTTTTTTTTTTTTAAGCTTGCCTTTAAAATTAATTCAATGGTCATTTTCCAAGTCTTTATCAATAGAGAAAAACATCAGGATTTGTTCAGTCAGGTGAAACAAATACTTAAACATGGCAACATTTTTAAACAAATGCAAACGTAAAAGAAACCTGTTATTCAATAACAGGTTTTTCATTTGCTTATACATTACTATGGGAACAGGGGCAAAAGGAGGAAAATAAACCCAAACTCTACATAAATATTTGTTAGAAATAAGTCAAAAGGCCCACATGCAGACTCACCACAAGAAATCAGTGTTCACACATTCACAAACTTTGGATGTGAGAGCTGATGTGAAACTTTTCCCTTTAATGCACCATGATGAAATCTTCCTCTTCCGAAAGCTTCTCTGCTGGCCCATGATGCAACGATCACCCTGAATATCAAAGCACTGCACTTACTGCAACAGAACCTCCACAAAAAGACCTTGTGTTGTCCTCAGAAAGGCTGGTCTTGCTGCCAAGATTATAAACCTTATCAACCCTCTGATCCTCAGATATGTAGGTACAGAAAGCCCTCATATCCACTGCTGTCCACTAACAAGTCATTACAGAGTTGTAACATAGGCTGTATTTTCAGGACACAAATCTGAAGATGCACATGAAAATGCAAGTGCAATTTATGTTTCATGAGCGCCCAACCTGTGTGCAAAGCTCAGAATGGCCATTTAAAAATTTCATCAGGCTGCAGATAGCTGAATTTCTCTAAATCACCGTATCTCATGTTGGCTGTCCATTTGAAGCACCAGCCATGAGGACACAGAATAAACTCTCTCCATACACACTCCACTGGTAAGTGGGCAGCTGCAAGTACTCTGTTAAAGTAATTTTAGTAGTTTCTAATTTCTGAAAGATATTTCAATGCCAACACCCAAGATACTGTTACTCTTTAGGCTCAGATCTGTGTAACATTCTTTGCATACACACAGCAGTCCCAAAGAAGACGTGTAAAATTAGGCATGAGAACTAGAAAATGAGAGCTGGAGTAACACTGAGTAGTATGCAAAAAATAAACCAACCCTGGTGGAAGAAATAAACATAAAAATCAGAATTATTATGAATAAATGTGTTCCATTTCATAAAAAATCCCGCCACATATTGGTCTCTTTAATCAGTACACTGCACAGAGAATTTTGCTTCCGAAAAATGGATTTGGCCAGAGCATCGTGATTAGCACAGCCTTAGTGCATTACTGCAGAAAGGGTATTGCCCAAAACAACTGGACACTGTTATGTGATTGGTCCACTGAGATCCTAAATTACTTCTGGAATGGACTTTACTTATGGCAATTTATATATGAGTATGGTATGTGGTCAGGAAGTTGGCAGAACACGACTGCATGTTGAAATTGTTTCAATCAATATTACACACTTCACTTTACTTCTCCACTCAGCAGGACCACCTATTATTATGGCAGCCCCCCAGATATACTTCTGCCTTTTTTGGGACACAGATCACACAACCAAAGGGAACACAAAATCCTCTCTGACTTTAAACTCCAGTGAAATCAGCATAAGGAGACTGAGCTGGGGGTTTAGCATCCAAATTCAATTTGGAAACATTTTCTCAGCACACAACTCTATACGAATCTGAAAGCTATGGAAAAGTTTTGTCAGTTAACATAAAACCATGAATACCTGCAGATTTGTAAGCTCCCAAGACTCATAGTCTTCATCAGTGCATTCTCTGGGGAAGGATGGTCTGAAGTCCACCTTCACCAGTTCCCAATCTGAACGGTAGCTGATATGTCCAAAGACTCTGAACAAAAGACCAAAAGTAAATTCTTACTGCAAAGAAATACCATACAGCTGAGATTCAAAATTTCAGTCCTGTCTTTTCATATCCACAGTCATAGTTCTCTGCTAAAAGGTCCCAGGATAATTTTTCTTCCACTTTTATTCCTCTTCTATGTACAATGAGTCTAGTTAGAAAACATTTGTCAGTTGTATGAAACTTTACAATGAAGAGCTATAACTCATATATGAAAGGGTTTTTTTCCTAGCAAACTACCCAGCATTTTAATAGGGAATAATATGTTCAAATTTGGAATAAAAATTTTTTTCTATTGTCTTGCTATGTAAAACAGACATAGCTCTGATTTTGACAGAAAGCTCAGATCAGGGAGCAGAATCCCAGATCACCAGAGTCAGTTTCCAGCTCTGTCACTCATTCCTTATGATTTGCAATTTCTTCAGTTGTTTTTGTTGTGGGATATTATGCTAATTTCTACAGTCTTCAGATGGCAATATGCTATTAAACTCACAGCATTATCATATTTTATTAATTTCTAAGGAATACACTACATCTTCACATTGTGCTGGAGAACTCAGAGCCTCTACTTCATTTTAGATAGTTCAATGTATAACAAAAACCAGCCACAAACTGTACAGTTTTTTTTTTTTTTTTGGGGGGGGGGGGGGGAGAAAAAAAAAAGGAAATCTCATTGCTTTAAAAAACAAGCTGCACTTTCTGCACTTTCAAAGCAGACAACATTTTTTAAGTCAGAGTCTTTATTTCCAAAACAAAATGGGTACATATGACATCCAACAACAAATTAGAAAGGATAAAGACTCTTTTTGGGCAAAAGAAAAATGTATTTGTGGTTTGTATCAGGCTTATGAGACTTACTTGCCAAAGAATTCAAGGTTAATTCTGAAGCCTACAATTTCTGTGCAGTTCATACCACACAGAGTTCATATTCCAAGCTTTAGTATCATTGTCCAAAGTAATTAATTCCTTTTGTTTTGCCCTCAGTTTTGTCCAAATCCAGGCACAGCAGGAATGACACAGTTTTACTAAAAGCATTCTGCAGTGCCCAGTAATTTCTCTTGTCCTGAATTCCAGGTTCAGATTGGAACTGGAGTAGACTAGAAGTGATTGATTTTCTACAACACAGAGGCAATACACAAAGCATGCTGCCTGCTAAATGGCTTACAACTCTGAAATCAGCCAAAAAGGCTGAAAAATAGTTCATAGAGACTAAAGATGTACAGTGATTTCCCCCTTTCCTTTCTGGTGCCTTTGCTTTTCCACCAGAGCAGAGAGATGTAGATACCAATAGGTTATTGCTCACACTGCTCACATTATAATGAGTGGACAACCCATGCTCAGAGGAAACCACGCCACAAGCAGTGCAGTTAATTAAACACAAACATATCCATTTAGTTTGTATGTCTCACTCTTTTCTTGTAATGCTCTGAGATTAAAGGACTTGGATCATCTAATTCCTTTCCTTCAAAATGAATTTATGGCTCAGAAGTAGAAGCAACACACACAAACTAAAAAATGTGCACATAGGTGTGTGGTCCCACTTCTCCCATTGAGCCTAAGGGTTTGGTTCTTTTTCCTGGTTCAGCTGGATCCTGAGAGCTGCTGTCACAATATAATCTTATTCACTGGTAGTTACATACTCAATAAAGTGTCTACTTAGGTGGTCTCTTGCTTTTTCCACAATGCCTGTTTCAATATGACTGGGTTTGCTGACAGACATAGAGTGTCTTTTGTATGCAAAATACCTGTACCTTTTTTCTAAAATCTTTGTTTTTCCATACAAGGTACTAAGATAAGGCAGATTTCACCACGTGTTAATGCAACTACCTACCTCAGTGATTGCTGCTCCAGACATCACAAAACTTCACAAATTTACTACATTTCTTTTATTAACTCATTCATAAAAATATACATTCAAGTGCAAGTAGCCAAGTCCTGTTGAAGCTTCACTCCTGCCTCAAGAAAAGTGTTTTCTACAGAACAAATGAAATTTTCTCCATTTGTGTTAGCTATCTCAGGCAGATTAGTCAAGGAAAGAGGAAGAAAGGAGATGGTGTTTTGAGTTCAAGGCAGAACAGAATAATGACATTCTCCTGAAAACATAATCTCTGAACTATTATTAATAATCTTTGAAATATCAGGAGGGTGATTCCAAATAACTGTGGCAAGGGAAACATGTTGCTTATATATATATATATAAATATGCACACACAACCACACATACACATTTATGTGTGTATATAGAACCAGAGATAGAAAAGAGCAAAACAGAGCTCAGAGAGTTAGAGAATTAATTTTGATATCCACAGAGATACCAAACAAATTATTGAGCTATCCACTTCTAAGCACCTTGGAGATAATTAAAATGATAACAAACAGCTACTACGGATTTATCAAAACCAAATCATGTCAAACTAATGTAATTTTCTCCTTTTACAGGGCAACTGGCTTAGTGGATAAAGGAAAGAAAAAAAATGTAGTATATTTTGACCTTTGTTTAAACTGCTACACATTTCTACCTGACATTGTCTCAAAGTAAAAAAGAAAATAGTGTAGATAAAATCACTGTGAACAGGAATGGAAATACATATTGAATTAGAGGAATCCACTTTCAAAAGGTAGTTATCAAATAAAGAATATTTTGAGATATGTATCACAAAGATATGATGAGTCCACAGTCAATATTTTCATTAATAATTATGGTCAAAAAAGAAATACAAAAAAATTTTGCAGGTAACACACAAAGAAGGGAGTGGAAATTGATGGAAGCAATGTTCAGAAATCAATAAGATGACATACTCCAAAACCAAGCAGAAAGTACTCCTTGGGAAAAAAGAAACCCAAACCCATATCAAAGGTGGAAACCAAAAGGGAAAATAACTTTCAAATATCAAATAAAGACTTTGGGAATTCTGTGGAATTAAAACAAGAATGCAGTGTTGCTGCAAAATAAGAAAGACTAATTCTAGTTTGTATTCAGAACTCAAAAACAGAAGACATGGAGGTAATTATTTTGATAAACTTGGCACTGGTAAGGCCTCTGGAAGAATACTGTGTCTAATTTTGGATTTTATATGCATATTTACAGACCCACTAAAAATGAATTTGAAGAGGGGCAAAATGACTCATAAGCTGCTTAGAAAATGTAACCAATGAAGAATGATTGAAAGAATTGGGTTTTTCACTGGAATAGATGAAGCTGAGAAGTACAACAAAATGTTTGCAGAGTCTTGTTACAGAGTAAAGAGCTGTCCTCAAAGAGACCGGGAGGAAGGGCAAGAAAGACGAAGGACAAGGATAAACTTAAAAAATACTGCCACATTATTCTCTAATTCCTTCTCCTCAGTATTGGTGAGTTTACATGTGAAGAACTGGGTCCAGTTCTGGGCTCCCCTGTAGAGAGAGAGATGGAATGACTGGAGGCAGTCCCACAAAAGGCTGTGAAGGGGATGAAGGAGCTGGAGCAGCTCTCGTAAGAGGGGAGGTTGAGAGAAGTGGGACTGTTCAGCCCAAATAAGACGAAGGCTCTCAGGAAACTGTAAAAAACTGTCTATAAATACCTGGAGGGAAGGTACAAAGAAGATTCTTTGCTAGGACTGGAACCAGGTCTTTAGTGGTGCCCAGTGACAGGACCAGAGGCAACAGACTCCAAATGAAACACAGGAAATCCTCTCCGAACATCAGGAATCAGCATTTCTGCTGTGAGGGCGCACTGTTACAGGGGCCCACAGAGGTTGTGAGTCTCCACCCTCGGAGACATTCAGGAGCCATCTGGGAATAGCTCTGTGTGATTGGCTCTGGGTGGGTGTGCATGAGCAAAGGGGTTTGACCAGATCATCTCCAGAGGTCACCTTCGACCTCTACGATTTTATGATTCTAGAATTCTGTAGAAGTAATGATTCAAGATGTTGAAGTTCATTCTGCTCCACTAGAGTGAGAAATTAGAAAATATCAGAATTATAGACAGAGGTTAGATAAATATTGCCCAGTTCCACACCCTATGATGACAGAAAAACTATAGAAAATATTCTGTAAATTATGCAAAATCTACTGGGATAATATGGCAGCTATGTACAAACCATATGTGCAAAAAGCAAAGTCACTGTTTCACGGGGAGAGCTACAACATTCTCTTCCGTGGATTTTTAGCAGAAGACTGAAATGACATTTCTGCATGTTGATACAGCCTCTTGGGAAAAAAAAAAAAAAAAAAGGAAACCAACAAAAAATCCCAAAAATTAATTTCCATTATGGCTGTTCTGATTCTACAGACTGAAGACCATGTTCTCACAGAGCACAGTAATGATACCAGTGTTCCCAACATTCTCTGGCTTAAATAAAATCCCAAAGATTTAAGGAAGTGTCCCAGTACAGTCACAAACTCCATTAAAAATGCAGACACACAGCTTTGTAATTCCTAGGGTAAATTTTCCAAGGAATGTAGCATTTTCCACACATCCATTTTAGCAAACTGTTTGAAAAAAAAGTCTTAATTATTATTAATGTTGTTGCTGCAGTAGCATGTGTTGCAGACAGCTCACATGAGCACATTTAAATGTACTGCTAAAGATAACTAGAATAAAAAAGAAGTATTTTTCAAAGTAACTAAGGCAGGTATTAAGTAGGATTCAATGGATTAGACAAAAATATGAGCTACAATGAAACAATACATAACAGCAATCACAATATAATTGCTCAGGTGCAAAATATATAATATATATGATGAATAAAATCATATGAATGAAAAAAAACTGGAATGGTGCAGCAAGTGTAACTGATGACTAGAAGTTATATATCAAGATGATAGCAATTCATAAGCTACTAAAACCTTCCTCTTGATTAACTATATTTCATTAGAAAGTCATCAAATCAATTCTGTTGAAACTATAAAAGATGATGCTGCAATAAATAATTTTTGGAAGAAATTCCAATTACCTTGGAAATTAATTTACTTTTATTTGTAAGAATTTAGGATCCATAATTTTAACT